AATGTTGAAACAACGCTTTAATATTGCTTTCCTCTATTCCGGTTTGTCTTTCACTTAGGTATGAACGTCACATTTATGGTGACACTAATTCCGCACGATAATTCTTCGTTCGTTAATTTAAATTCACATTAAGCAGTCCGTAACAAGTATAATATGCTCCACCCGCAACACGTGTAAGATGATGACACTCATGTAACTGTGTAGGAACATTCGTAGTGATCAGTTTGTCAGGCTTTCAGGGTAAAATAGACAATTCTGAAAACATCACTGTTCCAGTAATAAGAATAACATGACAACGAATTATCAATTCTACAAACTAGACCCTTTCTTTCAATTTTTTCCATCACCACCTAGTTCCGAGTTCATGTGTGACTCATACTCATAACTATACTAGCCACATAAAGAAACTGTGCATTGTCAAAATATTATCCCAGTTGATAAGTACGATAACAATGTCAAAGGTACATATAAACGTTAATTGAGGGATCATGAGACCATAACAAGTCGGGAGAATTTCAATTGAAAAGTCAATCACAATGACTTCACGAGTCCACAAGCGGTCCAGGGGTCAAGCGACCATGTCACAAGCTCAAAAACGAGTATGTCCACCATCGGCATTGAGAACAGCAGTGCATCGACGACGCATAGAGCCTATCAAATGTGCAAGGAAGGCTTGTGGGATGTCACGCCAGATTCTCTCAAGTTCTGTTGCAAGGTCAAGGACGTTAGCTGGCGGATGAGGAAGACGGCGTAGACGTCGATCCATCTCGTCCCAAACATGCTCTATCGGGGAGAGATCCAGTGAATTTGCAGGCCAAGGCAGTAAGTCAACATTGTGGTGTTGCAAGAAATCCATAGCAACCCTTGCCGTATGAGGGCGGACATTGTCCTCTTGGAATGTTAACCCAGGGCCATGACGTTGTAGAAAAGGACTTGCCACAGGTCGAAGAGTCTGATCCCTGTAGCCCACACCAGTTAAGTTGCCCTGAACAATCACCAAAGGAATTCTTTGGCGTGCTGTTATTCCACCCCAAATCATCACGGAACCACCACCAAAGCGATTCCTCTCCAAGACACAGGCCTGTGCATAACGTTCTCCCACGCGTCTATAGGCACGTTGACGTCCATCACTATGGGAAATGTTAAACCTGGACTCATCTGTAAAAACAACATTTCTCCACCATGTCTGCGGACATGATTTCGGCACCACATTCGGCGAGCTTGTCGATGACGTTGTGTCAGGATAGGCCGTATTGCGGGACTTCGTGGTCTGATCCCGTGATGACGTAAACGTTGTCGAACTGTGTTGGGTTGGATACGGCGAAGTCCTGGGATGGTTCGGGCAGTCATCACTGCAGTCTGAAACCTGTGGCGAAGATGGGTCACCCTTATCCATCTGTCCTGTCTTGGCGTTGTTACACGTGGACGTCCAGAACGTGGCCGATCGATGACGTCATTTGTGTTCTGGTAGCGTCTCACCAGTGCAGAAATAGTGTTCCGGTGGCAGTGGAAATGTGCAGCCACTTGTCGTTGAGACATTCCCCCACGGACCATCCCAATGGCCTCATGACGTTGTGCAGACTTGAGCCTTGGCATGCTATGCGTTTCAATAGCCGTTTATTTTTTTGAACAATCGCACGGGCAGGGGTTGAGCTTTCCAAAGTGACAGTATTGTGTGGCATTCATTTGCTCTGTTTCTCTTTCCCGGAATGCAAGTTCAACAACGTATTGCACGTCTCAAGGACGAACCCACAGACGCCACGGAACGTGGCACGTGCATGCATGTTGGATACATGTCACTAATCACTGAGTTTAAATCCTTATGTGTCTACACAGGTTTGATACATTTAGATTTTAATATTTTGTATGCAAAGTTTCTTTATGTGCCTAGTATATGTTAAACCTGTAGTGTTCAGGTTCACAGTCCAGGTGACCCGTGAAGATCTGGGTAAGTATTGATCTTCAGCAACCCATGCTTGTCGTATGAGACGACTAAAGAGATCGGGTGGTCAGGCTTTCTGACGTGGTTGACTTTATCGCATCCGAATTTCGCAGATCGATGCTCATGCGGTTGATCACTGGGTAGTTTGGTCCAGACTCGAAGATTTAAAGACCGCCGCCATATGACTGGAATATTGCTGAGTGCAGCGTTAAATAACACACCAACCAACCAAGCGTTGAAGTTCAGATACATATCTAACATCCGCAAAGGTGGCACAGGACACAGGATGCAGCCGTACGTAGTATACTGTCCCGAAAACAGAAACGCATATGTCAGAAATCTGTTGCATACATGCTGTATTTTCAAACATGTATAACTCGTCCACAAACAGACTTTAGCTCGTGAATTTGTACATCTGTTTAGAAGAGGGAAATGTCTATACAATCAAGTGGATATTTGTAGATAACGGAGATGCTGAGCACGATGGTGACGACGTAGCACGGTCCCGACGTCGGGTCTCCTGGCTCTCTGTCCAGTCTCTCTAAAACTGTTCCGTACTGTTTGACCGAAAAACTCGAAAAATACAATTATACGATTTCTCCTCCACAAATATTAGGGAACCTCACTATCATAATTATTATCTTCTATTATAAAAAATATTCAAACTCAATTACAATACACAGCCCTAAACATAAACAAACAATATGTAACATATAAAACATCCCTATCTATCCCTATTTGTGCAGCAAAACATTCGTAAACATATACCTACCTGGTAAATGGTATATTTGTTTCCGAAACTCGCAAGAAAACGGTCAGGGGAAACACAACATTTTATGCCACTCATACTCCATCATGTCCCATTGCATCGTTCAAAATATCAAAATTGAACCACGAGAATTCCGCTCTCTGCCATCTTCCCCGCAAGGCTGTCACTGCTATGTTCGTAGACCTAGAAATAAGCTTGGCCACAATCCAGTCCCAAATGATGAGAACAATGTTCCAAGGAATCCCAAGTTAGTTGCATGTACGCAAAGCAGCACCGTCACTCTTCCGTCGCATGCCGGGATGGAGGCACGTACGTGAAATCATGATCCACACTCGCCGGTCATGAAAATCAACAGTCTTTTATGAGTTACAGGTAGTAGGTCGATCAGAAATGGATCTATTCTTCGATTCTGCAGGGTTCAGACTTGACAGACAGTCAAGTATTTTCCACTGTCACTTCGAATTTCAACCTTTCGCAATATGTAAAAAACGGCTCGTCTGTTGTGCCTCTACTAGTTCCGCGGAAGATACTGTGTCGTGTATGTGACGTAGTGACATAAGCTCCGCCCACTCATGAATATTCATGATTTCTGTGCACTTAAGACCATTGTGCGTTTAAGGGCACAACACTCGTCGGCCATTTCAAACTGTTGCGGAACTGTCTACTTCCAAGAAAATAGTAGGTCAGACGATTCCATTATAATGTGGCCAGGGGGGTACAGTAACACGGCACACAAAACAATAGGCTTGTTTCGGTCTTGTGGAGTTAGGATTATAAAAACCGAGCTCTTAGGTATCACATTATTACATTGAATAAACAGTAGTTTCTTTTCTTTGGACAGAATAATTTTTATTTTGCAGTGTTATGAACGGCACCTACCACTCCCTTTACAGACGAGTTCAATTCCCCTCTCGTCCCATGCCGGATTACGCAGTGTATCCCGCAGGATGAGGAAGTTTCAAATGTAATGTAAAGACTATCAATTTGGTCTAACATTCATCTAACTTCCAAACACAGTACGTTCATCTCCTAATTAAACCATTTACTTTCGTAAACATTGTACAATAGTATCAAGAGATCAGGCCTACTGGTAGAGAAATGCATGAGGTTTTAGGTTCTAAGGAGGCATATAGAAGTTGGTATTCAGGTACAAGACAAACTATTATAAATGTCAACTTCTTCGTTGTTGTATAATTAATTCTTCTTTATTGTATTATAACGTTTTAGGTCTAATGAATCTTAACAGAAACGTTGGTAAATTTAACGTTGTAGGAACATATGTTGTAACGAGAGGGTGAATAAATGGACAATTAGTGATATAAATTTAAAAGAGGAAAATAGTGAATAACCGCATCCACACAATCTCACAAAGTGAACAGACGTGATGTTGATCAAACATTAAGGCTGACTATATCAGGTAAATAATGCTGCTGCAATAATGTACGTCAGCAATCAAAGGCCGATTGCAAAATTCCAGTTAAAATACACATGTGAATTGTCGGGCTATGTTTTGGGCATTGGTAGATAGGTTTCACGCTATCTTTAGTCCAGATTTTCACACAGTTCGAAAAAAAGCCAGACAGAACTTTCATAAGGAAAGAAACCATTTTCCCGATTTTGATGTTCGTGAGCCTTACCCCAGTTTGAAGTCTGTCCATTTAAGCATCTTCTATCAGTGGTGAGGGAATTCGGCGCTTTTTCACCCAGTTAAGTCTTGGTAATTTTTGTCCAAGGGTTTCATTTCATACCTTAGGACTTCCTCTATTAATCATTTCCGATATTCTCAACGCTTTTCACAATCTGACCAAGTCGCCGCCGATCCGTAGCACTGAAGCTCTTTGGCCACCCGGCCCCTGTGTTGTGCTCAATCCCAACTCCTCACTGAATATTCTTCAAAGTTCTGTATACTCTTTTGCATTCTTTCAAAATCATCTAGATCCAGCTATCTTTTCTCTTCTGCTGTCACATGTGCCATGCATACAAGGGAATCCGTCTGCTACACCAGGGGAGATAACTCTTGATGTAGTATGGTTCACTCAGGAAACAAAGATTTGTACAGGAACTAAACTGTACAAGACACTTGTGCAGTAGCGAATACATATACATAATTGATTGGAATAAAACATTGCACGAGCGAATGCATAAACGAGTGAAATAAACATTAACAGTAAGCGACTACATATACATATCAGAGTGAAATAAAACGCTGCATTAGCTAACGCATATACTTAGATGATGAAAATAAAACAATGCACCAGCAAATTCAATCATATACATAAGTCAGTGGAATATAACTTTGGATTTACCCTGTTATGATCACAATTTAATTGTGATTCCGAAACAGATGATCCTGAAAAATTCGGAATCTTCAAATGGACCCAGCTTTTGGCACATATTTTTTCATGATTATGGAAATGGTTTTGTCACTTTTCTCATTTGACCAACGTGACCCCTAATGGTCTACAGGACGGTGTTGTCAGTGTTTTCATATATGATTTCAACAACTGGATCCCTGGTCGCCTCATCTAAAGACATGTAGTCATTTTCAGACTTCTTTTGTAAAGCAACTAGTTGTTTCTTCAATCTGAAATATAGAATATTAGAAAATAATACCAACTAACGGGCTCGGGTGATACATGTCATCGCATCCCTTATGCCGTAGCTCGATGCTCCTAATGTCATTGGATTGTCTACTTCAGACCCGATTATTTACATACCGCCGTTATCTAACTAGAATATTGCTAAACAAAAGCAACACAGAAAAACAAACAAGCCCAAAAAAGACGCTAATACTGATTTGTAAAATCTCTTTAATTAGCGGTACTGTTTCGTAGTACACATACGCCATTGTTTTCACCGAAATGCGATTTATCACTGTGACATCTCAATTCTCCTGTTGTTTATTTTGCACACAATTGCAATCATTATGTCGACATTTAGAAGGACTAGAAATTCTGTACTATGTTTCAATCAATGAATGCAATTATTGCTAACTGTACAATACATAGGAGACACATTCTCATAATACTGTGCATATGTGCATACTCTTTCACGATTTGATGATGCAAATCTGAACGGCAAATGTTATGTGTGGAATTTGAAACATATTTGATGGCATTATAATGTTGCATATATAATTAAACACATAAACAATAACATTGAACATATCACACAGTATTGAATAGAACCCGTCAGTTTGAGACTCATTATCAGCAAAACAGTTACCTTTGCCCAATACTATGAATTAGTGAGATTTTATCTTTTCAATGATTATTAGTAGAGTCCTACCTTCTGTTATAAATGATGGCTGTCAACAGAGCGATGAGGGCAAATACAAGATTTGCACCGAGTGTTGCTGTAACTGGTAGTTCCCAGTTTGAACGTCCTGGTGCTGCTGGACACTCTGGACACTGGGGCTTCATGAAGTTACTCTGACATCCTTCAGGACATTCTCCACTGGACTCGTTGTCAAAGGTTGGGGGGCGTCCTGGTGCTGCTGGACACTCTGGACACTCTGGACACTGGGGCTTCATGAAGTCACTCTGACATCCTTGAGGACATTCTCCACTGGACTCGTCGTCAAAGGTTAGGGGGTCTTTACACATGCAGTCAACCCCGTACATACCATCAACGCATCCTGCGGAGCAGACCCGACATATTTTCAACTAACTATCTTACCGAGTGAGTGAATTAAATTTAACGTCACATCGGCAATATTGCAGCCACATCGTGACGAGGAGTAGAAAAGAAATATAGCCGTAATAAATAAAGTCAAATTATAAAATCCTGTCAACGAAGGACAATAAAATAACTATAGCATAACATATATAGATATAAAACTAGTATGAAAAACTAAAAACGTTTAACTATAGAAGTCAATACAATATATAAACAGGCTACATATTGCCAACAACTGAAGGTAGATCACCGAACTGGGGACCTTGGGGACTGACACTAACTATCTTACGTTGAGGATACAATGGCAAGGCCTACTTTTATCAACTAGCAGGAAAAGACGTTCCCACCACAAATGTATCCCACCTTTACAAAAGGCTTCTTGAAACCCTGGCTGACATCCTTGATCACATGTTCCACTGATCTTGTTACATGGCAGGTTTCCTTTACAGTGACCACACTCAGACTGACAGTGCTGTCCATAACGACCGTCACTGCAAGCTGTAAAGATGTGATGAACCGTCGACAGAAAGATAAAACATCTGAGGGATGCAGGAAGTGAAGATTAAATACGAACGATTTCATGCTTGTACAGATGTCGGCAGGTAGTGCCAACATCCCACGACTGTCTTCAACTTTGTGAAACAGATTCCAAAAAGCAGTTTCAAAATGCTTAGGGCTTGGTCAAAATTTTCGTAAATCAACTTCAGGATATTGTAATCCGGATAAGGCTTAAATATCTTATTGCCATGCATTCTAACATGTGCTGGAACAAAGACAATATCGCATACAATGGTCTTTGTGTTTAGAAGCGTATCCTGTTTTAATATCTCATAAATAATCTCTGAACCATTTGCACCAGCCTTCTGTAACTTCATGGTCTTGTTCAACTACCCATATCAATTCTTGCAAAATGGACACAAGTGCAAAAGCCTGCAAGATAATATGGGAATCTGAACAAATCAGCAATCGAGAAAACGGGTATCCCAAAAGTCCATGCAGTACGATGATTAGATGGGATTTTTGATACATCCGTGAGTCTTGAGTTATAACATTTATAATGCTTGGGTCCATTTTTTATGCACAAGTAAACTGAGTTCAGAGGAGGCAATATTCAGTTAATATTTTGAAACATTTGGAGAGTTACATGAACATATATAATTGAAGCATCTTATGGGAAATACTTTAAACACCATGTGTATTCACATCAGGCATAACAGTTTAATGTTTCATCAGGAAGTTTTAAATTGTAAAACAAGAGGAAAGGAATATACGTGTTGTTTGTTTCAAACTGTTATGATAACTTTTATTGAGTTAAACAGCTGGCTATATTATCCTGCAAAATCAATGTGAAGGCTACATGTACGTATGTACCGATGGCAACCGCAACAACAGCAACCACTGAACACACTGCGGCAAAGTAGACCTTCATGCTGGTTCAACAGGGTACCTAAAAGACATAAAATGGTTTATTGCACAGTTGGTAAACTGGTTGTAAACTACGTCCAAAAGAAACGCCACCAAAATAAAAGTTATCATAAATTGTCAAAATAATTGCCAATCTGCTCAAAAACGGCTGAAAACACATCCCTCGAACACAAGCTGTCTATTCCCAGTGAACAAGTGCACGAGATTTTGATGATTGGTGAGTTAAATGAATTCGCACAGAAAAATGGAAATTGTGTGCTCCAAAGCTACCCGTATGACATGAGGGTATAAAAGCTGACTAGATTTGTTCTCTCTCATCATGTGACACGATTGAAAGCAGCCAACATGCCTCGATTGACCAAAGAACAGAGGGAAAGAGCAATTGGTATACTTCAGATGGGCACAACACAGGAGCACATGGGCAGGATCATGGGATGCTGCAAGTCCACCTTCGCCAGACTTGTCACACGTCACAGACAGACAGGCAGTACTGCTGACAGACCCAGGAGTGGCAGACCCAAGGTCACGACTCCACAGGAAGATCGATATTTACGGCTGCTTCATCTGAGAAACCGCTACCTCACTGTGACGTCATCAAGCGTCAATAGTCTTGGACATGCAGTCAGCAGACAGACCGTAGCAAGACGACTCCGCCAGCATGGTATTCGTGCCTATCGACTTTTCAAGGGCATGACGTTAACGCTCCGACACCGACGTGCCAGATTGAGGAGGGCCAGGACCGAAATGCAGTGGCAGCAGCAAAACTGGCGAAGAGAGCTCTTCAGTGACGAGAGCAGGTTCCAGCTCTTCAAATCTGATGGTCGTGTTCGAATCTACCGACGTCGGGGCGAACGGACGGCACCTGCTTGCATCCAAGAAGTGGAGCATTACGGCGATGGAAGCGTTATGGCCTGGGGCAGAAATTTGCGGGGACCAGAAGACAGATCTCGTCATCATCAACGGTTATCTCACCGCACGTCGTTACATCGACGAGATTTTACGGCCTGTGGTGCTGCCTTCCTGCAACGTCACCCAAGGACTCTGATTCAACAGGACAACGCCACACCTCACACAGCTCGGATCACTAGTGACTTCCTTAACACTAACAACGTCAACCTGCTACAGTGGCCAGCGAGATCACCCGATCTGTCTCCAATCGAACACCTCTGGGACCAACTGGGGCAACGTATTCGGAAACGTCAACAGCCGCATATGACTAGGGACGCTTTGGCAGTTGCCCTGCAAGAGGAATGGCGCCAAATCCCTAATGATGACATCAGAAGGCTCACTTACTCAGTTCCACGCCGCGTTAGAGCCTGCATCACTGCTATGGGTGGCAATAAACGATGCTGAATCATCTGTGTTGTTCAGGACAGTTTGAGACCTTAAAGACGAATCAGCGTTGGCGATCGAATACTGGACACTGCACCCCTGTGTCATCCATGTGCCTTCAGAACACGAAATGTTTCGTTTTTCTCACTGAAAAGTTTCAAAAACTGTTGCTGACTGATTGTGTTTTACAATACAACACTTCTAGTTACCATAATTTGCTTTTTTGTGTTTTAGTGAAGAAAACTGTTTGGTGGCGTTTCTTTTGGACGCTAGTTTACATTTGGAGCATGTCCGTAAAAAATACATTCGGGATAGATTTAGAAATAGATTCATAACTAGTTTAAGTAAATTCTGCAGAACTTTTATAGAACTCACTCCAATGATATACCAAGAAAATACATATCGTTCAAATCTTTCTGATATTTGCACATTGTGTAGCCATCACTTTTAAGCTCTTCTTGCGAGCCTTGACCTCTACGGAACACATTTCGCTCACAAGATAATTTTGTTTAGGCACTCTAAAGTAAAAAATAGTAATACTGTAAACCAATAAAACTAAATAAATGAAAACAATCGGAATTATTTCTTTGTAATTGATAATGCTGAAACAAACTACGTGAAAACATTCTGACTTACAGTCACATTAATTCTTTTAATTTTCTGAACAACCGAAGATTCATATGGCATGTAATTCATAATACAACAGTTCTGAAATTGTATTACATTGTTTCTGTTAATTGTAATTAGAGGGAGTGATGTCTTTGTTGATAAATTTAACTGTTATATGAAGATCGATTTCACCCAGGATTCCTATTCTCGTTCTATTTTGTCAAGCTTGATCACTGCTCGACCAGGCTAGGTGAATATAATAATTGTGTGTCTTGCTAACATGAATGCTTTTATGCTGTATTGCCATTATATTTGTGTTGTCTCTCGTCTCAGTACTATCATTGTAGTTACTTTGTATTTATTCATGATGAACCAAGTGGCAATTGTACAACAATGTTAATTGTATGCAGTCAACCTAACAGAATGTTTAGAAAAAGATACTAGATTCGATATTAGAAACGAACAGTATTACAATTTTATAATCATGTTTGATGCCACCGAAACCTAATATCCCGTAAAGACGTGTGAAACCTTTTGAATGTCCTTCAGTGTGGTATTTGATATGGCATTTATCTAAAACGATCAATTAAGCAAAGTAACCACTCTAGATTTTACAAGGATGTTACTTTGTATTTCAGCCAGAATTGGTGAATCAATCATTGAATGAGCCACTGAATTAACAAATGAATGAACAAAACAATGAAGGAACGTAGATACGACGAAAGAATTTCTGAAGGTTAACAATTCTCAGAGCAAACGCATTGTGATAGTAATGACATAAAAACATTGTCTACTCGATATATATTCACTCTCAACTATTGACTAGGTAAGGAGGTATGCAAAACAACATATATATGGAGGGAACAACCTAGTACATTGTTTATTTAAAGATATTGTTATGATGATGTGTTTTTGTTAATTGTAATGCCACATTGAGTAACTTTTAGTTATTATTTGTCACAAAAGTTGAATTTGGATTTGAACTCGCATCTTGAACTTATAATTTTACTTGTTTAGAGTAAGCTTAGGAGTTACTTCCATTTGTTTGCATTACTTTCGGTCTTTGGTGGAATACTGTGAGTAGTATATACAGCAGGGGTACGAGATCACTTCTGACAAAAGACTCTGTAAAGCTTTATTGATTAAATAAAGCTTTTGTCAGTCCCTTATCTCTCTTTGCTAGTGTGCATACCACTTTTGAATCCCCAGCCAAGTTCCTGGTCACTATAACCGCGAATCGGCACTTTCCTGGTCACGTGCCATTATTGTGACCGCCCTATACGATGTTGATCTCAATGAAACAATTTTAATGTCAATGCGCCTGATTTCTTGGGTTTTAAGTATGAAAGCTTGTTGGGCTTGTTGTATCCCTTGTTCTATGTACTTTTTTCTCGTCTTCACTGATGGCGGTGCTTTTACGAGACTTGGACCGAATCTCTTGTTTCATTCTGTGATATTTTGCGAGTTCAGAGAGGACCGAGCGAAACTCTTCCTGAGATTTTACTGTCAGTGAGTGTGGTGGAAATACGGTCGTCTATTGTGTTTAACTTTGCTTCAGCTAGAATTCTAATTTCGTCGTGTTTCAATGCTTTACGATGTAACTTGAGAGATGCAAACTTAAACACCAACCCCACCAATCCTGACACCCCAGCTATTATTTCAATGCCAACACTATTGGTGCGGCTACGATGGTGGTCAAACTAACCGACACCTACTGCTCCTCATCCCATGCTGGTTGCCATAAGGGTGGTATCAGCCCCATCCACGAAATTGAAAGTTTTATGGTATTTCTTCCATAATGCTGCCCGTATGTCTCCATCTTGTTCTAGTTGACGTTTTATGTCGCATAACTGTCTCAAACGAACCCCGTCTACGGTTTCCATTCTTTTTGCTACTTCTTCTACGACTGGGTGCAGCCCCATCCTGTGTGTATAATATATTTTATAAGATATTTTTTAATTGGGTTTCATTTAATTTGTGATAAGTATATTTGAAGCTTATAACGTTTATATCATCGTACAGGAAAATACGTGAGACTCTAAGTAAATCTTGGTTCACACGAAATCTATAGAGGGGTATGAAGGGGGGTATAACTCTCAGTAAGGGTTCCGATCCCATTGGTATGATGATATGGCAATGATAGTACAAGGGCTTACTTTCCAAGTGTATTGTCAACCCAGATAAAAGTTGTCGTTCTGAACCATCACGAACCTCTCCGAGAAAGATTTCTATTACGAGTGTGGAGTTTGGTCTTATAACCATAAGGTCTGATTGGTAATTGGGGAAGCCGACCCTTAAATATGAATCCACGGATGAAACTAACATGTTGCCCATGTGGAATGGTATTGGGGAAACTTTTACATCATCAGAATCCGGAATGAAAGACCCGAGAATGATACGGTTGTTCTTAATCTCGGAGACGTAATCATTGTATTTAAACGAGATATGAAGTGCGGTGAGGGTCATATTGATCAACCATTCGGGCTCTTTAAAGTCTTCTAACGACACCCGCTTGTACACATTGTCTTTTAAGTGTAGGACGTACAAGGTGTTTTCTTCGCCGGCCTGATCGAATCCCTCCGTGTCTCCTAAATCACCAGGATGATGATTCATCATCTATATAAAATGTTATAAAATAGTTTCCAATTGTTTTTCTGATAATTTCTCAGGTGTGCACTTCAACCCGATGAGATGTATGTTGTCGGGTAGGAAAATTTTGGTGAGTAATATTGTGTCTCCCTGCAGACTGGTGTGGGAATCGATGTTCACCCGCACGTTAACAGAGCAAACGTGGTATTGTTGTTGTTTGGTCCACCGGAGTTTGATTCCTTTCACGATTTCGACTGGTGATGATGGTTCACCGAGGTAGACTTGGATGACCAACGTGGAATTATCCAGTAGACTCTCCAGGATTTTGACAATGCCGTCGAATTCAGACACCATTTGCAACCCCATGTTTTGCTCCCCGGGTTTACTCAATAGCATGTGGGGTGCCATACTTGAGACTGCGCTGATGATTACACTGCACCTATGCGTCGGGACGTAAGTCACGAGCAGGGTTCCGTTGTTCACGAGGTTGTTTAG